ACAGATTTTATTGAAGCTACTGCACATAAAATTCAATGGTGATCGTAGCATAATATTTGTGCGTGATGCTTCGCAATAGAATTTCAGATTGTGTCGACCTTCACTTCTTGGTACTAAGAAATTGATCTCTGGTAAAAGAACCGTACTGTCAATATTGTTGTTTAGTAATTTATGCAGGAATTTTATACCAACGATAACTCTACTATTTTACAAAGAAGTCATATCAAATCGTGTCAAAAATATTTTATGATCGATGCCCTCGTGGGGTATTGACCATCAACTTTTAGATATAAGTATTTTAGGAACTTCCTTTGCACGCTCTCAATTGATGTTTTTTGGTAGTCGTACACTGGATTCCATAACACAGAGCCATACTCTAACTTAGATCTGGCATACGCAAAATAGTGGATATGAAAGATATGTATATATAAAAAAGTAAAAGTCAAGTTTATAAAAGAGAAGACATAAAAAGTCCCAAATCAGGAGCTCCTTAATAAATAAAGATAAAAAATATGAGTAAGTCATTTAAAAGTTATTGTTAAAATATTCATCCAAAGTATAATAGGGTCTATCAGATAGAAATTGTTCAACTAACTTTCTGAATTGGAAGTCATTCATATTGGCAGATCTTATGTCCATAGGCAAATTATTGTACATTTTTCCATCGTTTGTGAAATATGAAGTCTCTGGAGATGTTTTAGTTGGCACAGTGAGTTTCAGAGTGTGTCTGCTGTTTCGGGTGTTATAATGGGAAGAGGATGCAGCAAAATTTAATATATGCTTATTTATTGAACACATAGATTCCAGTATAAATAATGCAGTTACATTAGAATATTATATTTTTTGAAGAAGGTTCTACGGGAGTCTCTTGGTTTAAGGATTCTTATATACCTTACTGTAGTTTTCCGTGAAATTAGTAGACTTTTGAGCAAAGTTGGGCTGCATGCTCCCCAAAACTATGAGTTTGTCAACATTTCAAGTTTTTTTGAGCACTCATTCCTATTTTCTATACAAAATGGGACGCAAATTCTCTAAACCATTTTTTCGACAGCAGAAAATCGCCGAACTCGCAAAACACCAACAAACTGAACATGTTAAACAGCGGATACTGTGAACATCTGTTCGAGATGAGTGTACCAACATAAAAAATCGTTAATCGAATGCAGGAAGCCCGCGAAATTTGAAATTCACCCTATTTTTTGAGCAGCTCGTATATCCGCATGGAATTTCGTATGTTTATCATATTTTTCGTGTACGAATAGTTTCGAAAATTGCACTACAAGGACCGGACGAATTACACACGATGACGTAGCAGTACCAATGAAAAATAAAAATAATCTCAAAAACGCGTTCATTCTACAAGAATTATCTATATCTTGATGATGCTGGTTTACTGTTACTGAATGACTATGAGTATACTTTCAAATTCAAGGTAATCAGCAATTTCGATATATTACGAATTTTATCGTCAAAGCGTAAAATTTTTATGCAAATTTCGAAAGAATCTATTTATACTCGTAAGTTCTTATGACTACACAAATAAAAAATAAATATTAATATATCCCAGAAGACACAAATCACTAGCTGGATTCATGGCAAAGCTGTTATGTTATGGAAAATTATAGGTTAATTTTTCAACGTTGATTGAAAAACTTGATATAAAACAGTCGAATGTCAATCAGAATTTATTACATAATTTTCTAAGCCAATAAATGTGTAAAATAAAATGAAAGATAATTTTTTCAAATGTAGGGTTATCTGAAATGAAAACAACGTTGATTGAAAAACTTGATATAAAACAGTCGAATGTCAATCAGAATTTATTACATAATTTTCTAAGCCAATACATGTGTAAAATAAAATGAAAGATAATTTTTTCAAATGTAGGGTTATCTGAAATGAAAACCCAATAAATTGAACAACGGAATTTTCTAAATAATTCATAACCTTTTAATGTTCTAAGATCTTCAAGATATATTCGTTGAAAAAAACGGCTCCGAAAGTTTATTTTTTGGTGACATTCGCCCCAAAGATACGGTTCATACAAAACAGTTCTTAGAAAGTTTGCGGGTATAGTCGAAGTAAACGATATTGTGCACACTTGAGTTGGCGGCACTCTCAAAGGCAAAAAAAAAACAATACATGGAAATGAACCGGTTGCAAATTAGTCCACGTGGATTGTAGAATTGGCGGTTCGTATTGGATAATTTCAACCAACCGAGTTTTATGATTGGCTGAAGAGTCATTAAATTTGAAGTCATGTTACGGTGACGAATAGAAATCAGGAAATGCGGGGATGGTTATCGCCGTCGTGTTCAGTTCAGAAACTGATCGCGATTCGAGTGTTGATATTCGATATTGGTGCAGTTATAATCACTTAAAATTTTTGTTATCTGTTTGAAATGTGGCGTTCTTGTAAAAGTACTAATATTAATAATGAGTGTGATAACACCGCAGATTATTTCCAGTGTTGTGATTCCAATAGCGATAATGAACAATGCAAAAAAGAAATACCAGTGAATACGATTCGGATGCATTTGAATATTGAAACAATCTACATATACAGGATTACCAAAACCTTCAGATGTCCATCTAATAAAATCATTGAAATAAACAATATACGACTGTTACAAATGCAATGCGATTCCTACAACTGAAATCATAAGGAAGAAATTGAATACTTCCGTTCATAACTTGAGTTGCTGTGGCAAAACTCTTCAGAATTGGATAAAGAAACTACAATTTAGTCTTAAAATGATAAACAAACGTCAAGCAGTTATGGAAAGCAGAAGAATAGTAGAATTGCGTAACAAATACTTAAAACAATTAACTGAATATAGACAATAACAACGGCAAATTTTCTATTTGGACGAAACTTGGTATGACACTCACGACACAGTTACGAAAAGGTGGAATGCTGGTTCGATAATGTGTACGCCTAACATGACTGCAAACAAAGGATCGCGACTAATCATTGTGCATTGCGGAGGAAGTAAAGGATTCTTTGAAATCATATGAAAAAAACTCGAGGACTGCAATGTTGACTATCATAAGAACGTGGAAGCTAATATTTTCGAGAAAGTTGACATACATACGAGGTATGGCTATTACATAAGGAGACTGGTTATGAAAAAGAGTATTGTTATAAAAATTATTCTACAATCGAATGCTCTCCTTCAATATACTCCCCTCCCCTCGCCACACACCTTTCCATACGTTTTTTCAATTGATCGAAGCAGTGCTGGAAGTCTTCTTCCAGCACTGGGCTATTAGGGCTATTAGGAGCTCTGCTGTTTTTTGCTTTACCGCTTCCATCGACTCAAATCGGGTCCCTTCCAGAGCAGATTTTATCTTCGAAAACAAAAAAAAAGTCTCACGGTGCCAAATCTGGTGAGTACGGTGCGTGTTCAAGCACTGGAGTGCATCTATCGGCCAAATTCCGCTTCACAGATACCGCGTTAAAAATGCCTGAATAAACGATGGGCTTGAAATGACGTAGCAGAAAAATGTTCTTCAGAATATTTCCCGTTCTAGGTAATTTTTTAACAGTGAAGTGAAAGAATACCTATGTATGCTCAACTCCGCAGAGTGAAATAATTATTATTGTATTTTTCAATAACTATTTTTTTACGATTCAATTATGTTTTATGTATTCGTTCACATGCATATTTTCCTAAATTCGGATTTTCTGTTGGGCAATAAAGATATATTATTATTATTATTTCCAAATACTCATTTTTCATGAAAATTTACTCCTTTCAATTGATATACCTGAACACATATTCAGCTCACTTTCAGTTCACCGTCATATGTCCTCATTTGTTAACACAATAGTGCAGTCATTGCTAGAAATGTTTACCTATCGTCTTCAGATGATACATTCCTCTACCATAGGTTTCGAATCTGCTGTTCCATCTAGACAATTGGAGTTGGAAATTCTTACACTCAGTGTTTAAATTTTATTTATTAGCATTGAGTTACCATTCAGTTAGCATTGAGAAGCCAATTATGATTTTTTTAATGAATAGCTGATGCATTCTTTTTCTTCGCAGTCATCGACATATTAATAGAGTTAGTTCCTGGAGCATACAGTTAATGATAGCTATGACTAGTTGGTGATATTTTAGGATCAATAAATACCTAATCAATTAACAAATCGAAACTCCAAAACCGTTTAATCATGAGGCAGATATTTCAATTGAAAACAATACCTTGACCAATTTGAAGGTGATGAATAATTATATAACCCAATGAATTTCAGTAAATTCGGAAATAAACAATTGATTTCAAAATAAACTCCTTATAAAGATGTGTATATCATGGAAAGAAGTAACTTTCCGACACAAACGCGAAGAAAAACCCCTCCCGAAGCAACTACTAGTATATAAACATTGAATTTGTTATTGATTCTGTCGTTACAGATCCATAGTAATTTCATCAACTACAACTATCGATTTGATGTTCATAAATTTCACAAACGACATGTTTCGCTATCACAGCTGCTTTTTCTAAGTGACATTGATTGGAATCGAATCAGATATCATTCAAAGGATTACTTCACAATCACTACATAGTGTAAAACAAAGTAGCTTTTCGCTGTCTGTCTCTATGTATGCTTAGATCTTTGAAACTACACGTTTTTTTATACACAGAGTGATTCAAGAGGAAGGATTATATGTATATAACATGCATAATATAATAGAAAAACACTGATGAATGTGGAGGTTTCTAAAGTGCATGTTATATGCATATGAAACCTTCCTTTTGAATCACTTTATCAATTAAAATAACTCGTATCAAAATTCGTTGCCTGATTTAAAAGATCTAAGCATATATAGGGACAGACAGAGATAAACAACTTTGTTTTATATTATGTAGTGCTGATGCATAATATAGTAGATGAACAGTGATGATTTTAAAGGTTTCTTATGTCATAAATAAACATATTTTTTTGTGCTTACGCTGGCTAAACCCTACGAGATAAATCAAAATAATGTGCTACAGTATTGTACACCTTGAAAAAGTCTACAAAAAAGTACCTGTTAGTATACGTTTATCTCTTAGGGATAACCCACCATAACCTTTTTTTATCCTTTACATTTTAACGGAGCGATTTCAGGCAAAACAACATTGTTTTTTATCCAATTGAGTACTTTAAATGTTTCTGTTTAAAATCTGTTTTTCCGTTAACCAGCTGTCGCACCGTTACGAACGACAACCCTCAGAAGTCGAAACTTATGCGAGCTAAGGATTAACGAGGTCTTACCTTTCAACGTGTGATTCCTAACACGGGTTGGACGATAGCAAGTGAAGATCGATCGTTCAGACTAGGGTTTGAACCACCGACCAACACGGCAGTCAATTCGAGTGAGTGAACAAAGCACCTGCGCCGAACCGCTTGGCTACCGACCGACCGATATATTAGGCATTTGATATAGATCAATATTACCCTTCACAGCATGTAATTTGAATGGATATTTTCGAAAATATCACAGATTTAAAATGCAGGGAAATAGCGGTTGCAGCTTTATCGGCTTATATGTACATTTAATATCAGCATTGCACGCGTGTGGAGCCGGGGCGACTCGTTAGTAGAATACTGTCATCCTGCTCCCAATACTGTACCTTGCGGTACACCAATATATAGTTTCAAAGGAAAACTTTGAGTTTGCGCAATTTTAAATCACTGGCTTGGTCGCCTGAAACGAAAAACTCCCTATATATCCTAGTAGTATCTTCATACACTGATGATAAAATGATAAATTGAAAAAAAAAGTTTTTGCCAGGCTATTTACAAAAATAAACGTTGCGTTGAGCACCTTACAATGTATAAAAAATGACTTGAGTTATATTTGAAAAATTTTCATTTGTATAAAGTATGTTGTTGCATTGAAATGTTACAAAGCGTCTTTACTTTCTAGCACCACATTTAAAATCGGCAAACTTTTTTTTTAATTGTGAATCATACGATAAATAAGGTTCGGGAGAAGCAGTTTCATTAGCTTCCGATTGACTGCAGCTAGTTTGACACTGAATTGTGAAACACAAATTCATATTCAATGCAATTTTTTATAATCTGATCAATGATTGAATATTGAGTGAAGCGACATGTCTTCTGTTATTTGTAATATTCTTTTAGCTAGCTGAATATTTTTTCTCCTTCAATTATTCTATATTTCATTTCTATTGCTTCTGTTTTGTCAAATTTATCTTATCATCTAGGAAAAGTGTTGGCCCCACTACCGTACCTTGCGGTACACCAATATTTGGTTTCAAAGGAGAACTTTGATTTTGCACAATTTTAAATCACTGGCTTAGTCGCCTGAATTGAAATACTCTTCAAATACCCTCGTAGTATCTTCATACCCTGATAAAATATTAACAAATTAAAAAAAAAGTTTATTCAGACTATTTACAAAAATAAACGTTGAGCAGCTTACAATGTATAAAAAATTGACTTGAGTTGTAGTTGAAAATTTGTCATTTATATAAAGTTTGTTTCCTTGAAATGTTACAAAGCGTCTTTACTTTCTAGCACCACATTTAAAATCGGCGAACGCTCCTTTTTTTGTATTGTGAATCATACGATGAATAAGATTCGGGAGAAGCAGTTTCAACGGCTTCAGATTGACTGCTAGATTCAGGAGCTACAGTGCTGGACACGACAGCTGGTGCTTCAGTACTAGAGACGATGGATTTTCCGAAATCTGATGGGATCAAATTTTGACTCAAATCTACTCCAGTATGAAAATCGAAGGCTCTCTGGCCACCGATGTTAACGGTTGGTATGGGAGTGGAATAACTGAAGCCTGATCCGAAACTAGGCGAGTTAAATTGGAACTGATTGAAAGCTGAGTCGAGGTTCAAGTTAGGCGCGGGTGTAGTGTAACTGAAACCCTGGAAACCAGAATTCAAGTTTAAACCAGGAGCAGGCGTGGTGTAGCTAATTCCTTGGTTGAAGACTGGCAAGCTCGTGGTTTGGGCAAAACCGGCGTTGAACCCTGCATTAGGGACAACGTTAGAAGAAATGTATCCAGCGTTCAAAGGAGAATTAGGTTTGCCTTCTTTCACATAATTTATGATGGGCTGGGCTCTGTTTGAGCTTTCTCTGTTGATGGTTTCGATGAGGTGATCGCTACCACTGAGGTCTTGAGCTGCTTGATGAGTTCCTGGACCTGCTTGTCCACTCTGAACTTTGGAGATGGCTTCTTCGGCTTCCTGTTGGTTCTTATATTTGATGAAGAAGACTTCAGGCTTCGCTGCTGCTGTAGGTTCAGGGCTTTTGAGGTAGATCTGTTGTTCTTCTTCAGGTTTTTTCACCAGAACGTATACCACAGTCTTTTCTTGAGTCTGTGGTGGTGGGGCAATCTCTATTGGTCCTGCAGAAGGAGCAGATGGAGCTTTGATAAAGATATATTTGACGTTCTTCTTGGCAGATTGAGCTGGAGCAACGTTGATATGAGTACGAACTTGCTCGTGTTCTTCAGGAGCTGAGTAGAAATAGACGTGTTTCGCAACCTCTTGTTCGTGAACTTGATCGTATGAACCTCCGGACACTTCCCCGAAGGCATCACCTATGGAGCCACCACTTGAAGCACTTTGACGGACAAAGGAGTTCGAGCCTAAGCCAACTTGAGGCGCAGCTGTGGAAAAGGAGTTATATCCCAATCCAGCGTTGAGAAGTTCTCCGTTGAAGTTGAAACCCTGGAAGCCAGAGTCAACAGCAGCAGGTGCTGATAAACTGACAGGGTTAATTTCCACATTTGGAGCTACAGTTGAGGAAACCAACCCTTGGTCGGCACCGAAATTGAATCCCTGGAATCCGCCGTTTAGGCCTAAAGGCGCAGCTGTGGTTGAGAAGCTCAGAGAGTTGAGGTCTACGCTAGGAGCAGGAGTCGATGAAACCAACCCTTGGTTGGCACCGAAATTGAAACCCTGGAATCCGCCGTTTGAGCCTAAAGGCCTAGCAGTGGTTGAGTAGCTCAGGGAGTTGAGGTCTACGGTAGGAGCAGGAGTCGACGAAACCAACCCTTGATTGGCACCAAAATTGAAGCCCTGGAATTCGACGTTTGAGCCCAAAGGCGCAGGAGCAGGAGTCGAGGAAACGAATCCTTGGTTGAGGTCGAGACTAGGGGCTGGTGTGGTGAAACCAAATCCGGAGTTCAACAGAGACGATGGAGTTGATGATCCTGAGAGACCATAATTAGAGATCTCGGCACCTTGGGAGTATTCTGGTGCTCTGAATTGGTAGCCTAGATGGCTAACATCGGCAGTTGCGAGAGCTAGCAGGAGGGTTAGCTGAAAAAATCAGTTACTTCTTTTAAAATGAACCGACAAATGAAGAATGTCACAGTTTCACGATGAAAAAATATTTGAAAATAACTATTTTACAACGATATGGTGAAATGATCATATCAAACTATGAAATTCCTTGGATGAATCACTTCTAGGTATGGTATAATTGTTGAGAGAAGAGAATTAAATCAATAACCAATATGATAAAACTACTCTACTCAAAATATGCAAATAAGAGTGTATTAGAAATGACTGTTCTGTGCTGAAAAGTTGGATAAAAATATATATTATTGCCCAAATGAATGAAACCAGAAAACCGAAATTGAATATTATTTACTGAATTAAATTTTTCAATTTCACGAAAGATATTTCAAAAAAGTTTCACTAAACGCGATTACTGGAACTTTTTCTAGTTCAAAAGAAAATTTGACTTTAATTTTATCATTGTGATGTTTGTTTCTTCATCATTGTTTTTATACACGTTATGCCAATTTATTCCGATAGATTGATTTGTTTCTGGTAAGTGTTATTATACAGGGTGTTTCCTAACTGCAGTACGAAACTTCAGAGGTTGATTCGTTAGGTCGTTTGAAAAAAACGAGTTGCTTCGTTGAAGTTTAAAAAAAAAGTTATTTATGAAATATCATAGATATACCAACACTGATTTGGTTGATATTTGCTACAGCTATTTGAAGTAATAAAGCGCTTACTTAGCTCGAACGAAATTGAAAATATTAGGTCCAGTCCAGTAACGATATTGAGAAAAAAAAGAACGCCAATGACTTTTTCGGTAGTTTTTCATTTTTCTAGATCAATTAACTAAAAATATAATTTGATCATCACTTTTTTCATACTGAGCTTCGTTTTCAAAAAAAAAATCACTTCCAAAATCACATGGACAACCAAATGTGAATAATAAACAATATCAAAATAGTTGTGTATTTTCTGATAAAATACACAACTAAAATTGATTTGTCCGTGATTGTCCTAACACGTTCAAAAATACCTGGAATATTCCTTATGGCCAATTTTGAGGTCCTGCACGTCCAAATGATCTCGCAAAAAGTCCGTGTAGGATTTAAATGTTGATCTTGCTAGTGGAAAAAATGGGCCAACTAGGTAGTCACTAACCACTCCTACCAAAAAGTTCAGCAAAAATTGTTGCTGGAAATGACTTTCTCTAATAACGTGGAAATTTTCGTCGGCCAAAAAAAATGGTCATTGTGAAAGTTCATAGTAGCATCCAGTGAAAAAGTTGCTTCGTCCGTAAATGAAATATTTGGTAGGAAATTAATATTGTGTGCCATCGTATGAATCAACCACCTGCAAAACATTAATCTTGGGTGGAAATCCCGAGGCAGTAGAGCTTTGACCCCTGTATGTGATAGGGGCATAGGAGGTTTCTTTTTAGAACTGATCATATGGTTTTTGGGATGACTTCCATCTGCAGTGTAATCATCCTGGAAGGATCTCCTTCTCTCGCATCATGTATAGCTTCTTCTAGTTCAGGCGTTGTTATAGATCCTGGTCTTCCACCACCTGCATTTTCAATAAAACTCCTAGTTTCACATAATCTTGCATGTAGCATGAATAATAATCTATGCTTCTACCGCATTTCCATTTGCTAATCCAAAAATTAAATGCATCATTCATGATGGAATCACTGCTAATTGACAACTCTGACTTTCACTGATATGTCAACACTATCACTGTCAACTGGTCTCCAAAGCAGGTGTTCATGATATGCAAAGTTGTTTCAATTTTTTCCTCTAAAACGAAGCTAGATATGAATAAAAACAAGTTGATTAACGTAATTATCCTGAAAACATGATCTAGTTAGGGCCTCATCACTTCAAATAACTGTAGCAAATTCCAACCAAATCGTTTTAAGGATATTTATTATATTTTATAAATTGATTTTTTATAAATATCTCAGAAACGAAACAACTTCGGACATGTCTGTTAAAATCTGTCTGTCTGTTGAAATATGTTTCGCAGGCAACCAGCTGCCGCTGGTTGGGCCACTGTCCCACCATATGTTCATAACTTCTTTTTTAACGATCTAACGAGTCACCCTCTGAAGTTCCGTACCGTCATTAGCAAACACCCTGTATATTGATACTGGTAACGAGGTTTATGATAATTTCTGTTCCAACCAGACAAAGTGTTGCCAAATATATTTTTTCAATGATCAGACTTATGAGTAACGAAAATTTTTCAAATAATAAACAATAAAAAGAAGAAATACATGAAAATGTTAATGATCCAATATTGATATTACGTTTCACTCACTCGCATTTTGTATTATAGAATTCCAAAAATGATTAAGGAAGTTAAGGTAGAATTGGAACCTAATTTGATATCCTGGGTTGTAATGAATCTATTAAAATGCTTTTCTTGAAAAGCGTTTCGTTAACCATCATCAGGAAGTCACTAAAACTTCAAGTCATCTGAGGATTATCAGATCTGATTTTCATTCAACCACATTATGTTGTGAACATTTGTAGCAGATCAGTAAGTTTACTCACAAGTGTGTATATTTCAATTATAAATCAACATATCCGTCTGAAACTACGTTGATACAAACAGACAAGAACACTTAAAAGTCCAGCAGTGAAAATAAGATTTATGGATTCATTATTTGAAATACATAGCCAACTTTGAATTGACAATGTTGAGCTGACAGCAAATTTATAACAATTCAACAGTGATGATGAGCGGTAAAAGAAACTTTAAAATGGACAGACGTATTTATGGGTGTTGAGGTATCATCCATTCGAAAAAAGCATTCAGAAAATTTTCAAAACAGTAAAAACAGTGTTGCCAGAGGGGATTGTTCACAGTTTTTTTGTATACATTACCTTCTAAACATATAATTCTTGAAAATGATTTGTTGAAGAGATCTCAAGAATTTTGTTTGCTGAATAAAACCTACATTTGGACAACCTTAGGTTGTCCAAATGTAGGTGATGTGATGATCTGATAGAGTAACTGTAAATATTTATTTACTTGTAAAAAATGTAATGAAGTTGTTATACCTTTTATATTTTTGGGTGAGATGTTGAATATTTTTGGACCATAAAAAATTTTGGGTGACTGTTTCAATAAAGAATTCAATTTTTATGTCCTGGTTCATTTTTTATCGGGTTCCTCTTGAATGTTTCTGTTTAGACAGTGATAAGTGTATAGTGAATTAATATTTAACATGTTGGTTTCTTGATGTAATTCTCTTGTTTTTCTCTCCTCTTTTTTTCAATGATAGTTTTATAGAATGTTTTGAGCGGTGTGTAACGGACTAATAGCATTTCTGAATGTTGCAACCCCAAGCAGGAATACAATATTTTATTATAGATTCGACAAGAAAAGTATAGAGTATTATAATTTTTTTTTATAGTATGTCACGTAGTTCATCAAAAGTGTTCATTAATACTCTTAAACTTTTTTGTAACAAAGTTTATATGTTTCGTCCATTTCAGGTGTTGTTCTAGTAGAACTCCGAGGTATTTTATCTTGATCATTACAAAGCGGTATATGCATTTTTATTTTGTAGGTAGTTTTTGTTTTGCTCACGAAGTGTGAGGGAAAAGGTAAGATACTTTGTCTTATTTAAATTCAGTGACATCATTCAACCACATGTATGTTGTAACCATACCATAGCATTTCATATTGCCTATGAAATTGTTGATTTTTGTTATACTGCTAATGTGAATGAGAAAAAATACGGATCTCAAAACGGCTCCTTGTGGTATACCAATTTGTTCAATCAGTTCACCACTTATTTCAGTTCCAATTATCACTCGTTGGATTGGATTTGATAGGTAGTTCTTCATTAAAGCCAAAGCATTACCTCGAATACCATAGTCATGGAAAATAAAATAGTGGAATATTGAAAAGTAATTGTTACACTGAAAACAATGTTTGGAATATTTCATTGCGAAGTATTATTCACCTAATTTAAAACGAATGATTCAGATACAGAACAAGTGTGAAAATTGAAAGATTAGAAATGTTATACCTCTCAAATTGGCAACATTTCAATTCTTTATCAGGATTATTTCAAAAATCCCGTTCAATAAACAATTATGCTGGGAAGTTGGGATTCCCGATTATTTTGGATTTTAGGAAGGGGTTTGGGAATAAATCAATAAAGAAAGTAAATTATTAAATATGCAGAACTGTTTCTGTGTTTTTGAAGAACTCTGAATTGAAATTTTACAAGTTTGAGTGCAATTTTCACAACCGTATCAAAGGGAGTATAATTTCATCTGGAATTCATATAATGTTCTGCAGATTCGTTAATATGTGTGTATTCATTTTAATTGAATGTGTAGGGTGAAAATGATACTATCAGAAAAAAGCATGAATGTAGCATTCAAGATAATAATTTACATTCATTTATGAATAACTCCAAGTCAGCACGGGACAAATTCAGAAAATCTGGGGTCTATAAGCTCAAGTGCGATGCCTCATTTATAGGCCAAACTGGCAGCAGTTTCAGCTAGAGGTTTAGGAACATTTAAGAAGTTACAGATTGAATAAGCAAAATTCCAACTACGCCAATCATCTTATAGAAAACACTTAACAATTTCATACAAAACCCGAAAATTCTACACATTCAACCAAAAAGTCTGAGAATAAATATATTGGAATCTATAGAAATCAAAAAACATTTTACTAATAGAAACAACAGTGTTATGAATGATCAGATAGTTATTTATAGTTCTCCAATTATCAATAATGTCATCAGTAATTTCCCAAATGTCCCTTAATACGTCTCTCTACCTACCAATGTAACTATATGAGTATACCTAGGTTAGTTTATAACTCGCTCAGAAGAGTATGTCGAAACAGCCGTTAGCATTAAATGTTGAAATCTTCAAGTACAACATTTGTTACAATGTTACAAGTAGAAGAAAAATGGTATGAATAAGATCACCAGATATTACATGTCGAAATAAACCATACAATAGTTTTTGCAGTGGACCAAGCGCCTAGAAAATAGTAAAATACATATTTCTGCTCAGAGAAGATTCGCGGAACTGTGACACTCAAAAAATGAAAATTCTACAATTATCCAATCAACCGTATAACGTATCATCACTATCACCGAAATTTCACTGATCACAACATGAAGATACTCACCACCAGCAGCTTCATCTTGAAGATAGGTCGTCTTGAATCAGCACAGATCCAGTCCTGATTATATAAAATCTATTTATACTCGGTCCCCACTGTCTTTACCTAAACATCCTCAAAGCAAGGACACTACTGCCAGTCGCAGGTTAACATTTAAATTAGTTAATAAATAAAAACCCGATCTGAAATCCATAACCGCCAATGACATCAAAATTCTCGATCTTCCGATAGACCACAAATATAATTATTATGAAAATGGTCGCATGTGCGAGATACACTTGATAGTCAACTTTGACACAGCTTCGGGCAAATAACTCCACAGGAGGTTACATAATGGACAACAATGGTCAGGTACCGAGTTTGTTTTACAAAAAGAAGGAGGTGCATCGACCTTTCATCCTTGGAAATTATTAGTGTTGAAAAGTTGTGAAGTGTCAGATGAGAAGACACCGTAAAACTTTGTTATTCTTAGAACAGATATGTTGAATATTCATCCAGGACATATTAGGGATACCTATTTCAATAAATATATTCTTCTTCTTCAACAAATCTTAGCAGAATCGAGTGCAGCGCTTTTTGAATTGTAAAAAATGTGAAAAAATCAATATCCACGTATAAAATTAGGGTCACTCCATGATTTGGAGGTATCTTGTAAATTAGTTGTTATTTGAATTATTATGAATGTACCATACATTGCTTGTACACGCCATGATTTTTTCTTATGAATAATACATTAGAAAATTCTCAACCTGAAGATATTCCACTGTTCGGCGCACGAAGCATATGGATTGGAAGTTCATTATTTTTTCATTTTTTTTCTTGTAAAGTATATTACCCCTAGTTTATAATAATGCAAGGTAAGGTAAGGTAAGATAATGCAGAGAGGTAAGGTAAGGTATCCATTTTTTGACGATCACGAAAAAATAAAGTATGAAGAATTGCCATAGTGATTATAGGTTTTGGTAATATTTGGGTTGGCAGGAATGCATAAAGAAATATTGACATTACATTCCATTTATTTAACCTTCATATAACCATTCATATGAAATAAATAATAACTTTCATTTGTGTAATATTATGGAAGACGCATATTTTATATCAATAATAGAACAATACCCAATAATTTATGATAAAAAAAATAAAAGAAATTCATGAAGGAGAAGGCATGGCAGGTGATCGCTAAAATAATAGGTCAACCAGAGGAGCAATGTCAAAGATATGTTGGAGCTAAAATATTCCACAGAACACCGCAAATTTCCTTAATGATTTCATGGATTGTGGTCTTTCCCAAATGGTATGCCCACGCCTCCGACTGTTGCGAAGTTTTTTGCGATGAATAACTGAACAATTTTGTTAGATACATATTTACAATTTCAACAATTCACTTTACTGGAGTGTTATAGCCAATTTCTCTTCTGAAGGTATCGATCCAAATATTTATTTTAACAATGAAGGTGCTAACAATTTCACTAAATGTTCAAAACATATTTTGTTCATTCTTGTGTACATCTGAGTCTTTCTGCTTCTCAGAATGGGTCCTACATTAAACCTCCTTATTTTTCGTTTCTTTCGTTTGAGTAAAAGATACACACTTACTATCGACACGATCGCGGCAATTTTTGTATTTATATCCATCAAAAGAAAAATCAAATTTCACAATGTGACGTTTAAGTTCATCTGGTGACATTACCTTTACACCAATATATCCGTCAAAGTTCGTAGTATGGCGCTTTCTGATTAGTCGGAGGTAAGAACGCAACGCAGAAAGTTGAAAATAGCCGACTTGTTACCTTGCGTTACTTTTCCTTACCAACGTTACCTTACCTTACTTTTTATCTAGAACGCAAGTGTGTTTTCTCAATGCTTCAACTTTCTTACCTTACCTTACCTCGTTACCTTGCGTTTTGATAAATTAGGGGTTATACTAGTAAAACTAATAACCAGTCCGTGCAAAACTTATTGTTAAATCATCTGAAAATGGAAATTTCAACAGGTGATGATCGACTGTATTGTCAAACATGCGCCAAACTAACTGACTGTTATAAGAAAACAAGTATAGCTGAGGCACCAGTCAATCTAATAATGATACTGATGATCTGCAAACATGACTCAACCTCTGACGGAAGCACCAATCTCTTACGAAGGTTCCAAATAAATGAACACTTCAATATAGCAGATCACTATGATAATATTCATGAAGTTAATTGATGTATGTAGCCGTTACTACTCGGTAGGAAATCATAATGAAGAAAAGAGAAATGAAACTTTCTATGTTTTTTATCATTTATATTTGTAACTAACGTTACTGCAGTTACGTCCTATACGTACATTTTCAAACTTATACAATAAACTAATAATGGTTCATTACATTAGTCCATATATACCACCCCTGTAGGTACTAATAGAGGTACTTGGCTTGATCTGAGAAACTCAATTTACAGTTTACAATGCGGATGTGCCAGTTTAAAAACCGGTAAGTAAACTAAATCGATTTGATCATTAAACAGGTTGCACATGCAATGTTTATGCTTGTGAATTTCCAAGGATTCTAAATAATTGAGTTTGTAACCCTTCCTTGCATGGTGCAGTATTTCCTAGTCTGAAGGACCTTTCATGTCCAGCATACCGTTTTGGGAATTTTCGGCCACATTGTCCCACATAAACACTAATACACTCCAGATACTTAAGCTTATAAACTCCAGATTTCTCTAACTTGCCCACCTTCTCTTTGGGATTGAAAAGGAAATGAGATAACCTGGCATGTGGTCTGAAAGTCACTTCCACATTGTTTTTTCTGAAGAAACCCGCAATTATTTCTGTTCTTTTTCCAAAATATGTTAGAGTTACCCATTTCTTGATTTCTGGTTGTTTGATCTGAGGCTATATTAATCTGAATGACTAACTAACTTCTGGATAGTATCTGCGTTGAAACCATCATTATGATCTATCTATGTAATTATATCAATTAACCTAGCTAGATTGTTAGCAGTCAAAGGAAGTGAGAATAGTCTGTATACCATTGAATTGTAGGCTGCTAATTTATGACTGTCTGGATGGAAAGAATCGCTTGGGATGGTGATGTCTATAAAGCTAGGTTATCTGAAAACATTGTACTTAAATTTATTCTGATTGTGTGAATGGTCAGGTCTAAGAAATGTATCTGTTTCGAGTGTGAACTTAATGTTGGTATTGAGATTTTTCATGAATGTCATAAATTGGTTCAGCTGTCGTGTAGTACCTCTGAAACAGGCGAGAATATCGTCTACATATCTGTACCAAAAATGAATATGTTTTCTACCCAGATCGGAATTTACTATAGTGGTCTCCAAGTTGTTCATAAATATGTCTGCTAAAAGTGAACTAAGGAGTGAGCCCATTGGTAAACCTGGGCTAATGTAATGAACCATTGTTAGTTTATTGTATAAGTTTGAAATTGTTCTTATAGGACGAAACTATAGTAACGTTAGTGACAAATAAAAGTGGTAAAAAACATAGAAAGTTTCATTCCTCTTTTCTTCATTCATGCAGTTATTGTTCACTGTGGTTCTGGCGTTGAATCTGGTCATTATTACGCATTGATCAAAGACGAAACGGACTGGTTTAAGTTTGCCGATAGTCGTGTCACTAAGTGTTCTGGCGATGTCTTGAATTTATTGAAGCCTCTGGAGACACCCTACTTTTTGTTTTATGAAAGAGAGGACATTGACAGGTCAAGATCTTCATATGATGCTGGTGCTGCAGATTTTTCCAGGTTTTCCTGCAACTGAAAAATCAAATGCGCCACTGGAATCAATGAAGTCGCTCCGTAGCCCTAATTATTTTTGTTGTTTTTTCATAATTTCATGATTTGTATTACTTTCTTCTTTACAATTTTATTTATTTAGCACTGAAAATGTTTTCGATGTTGCTTTTGATACATGTTCAAATATAATATTTCATAAAAGAATTATATGTTTGTTTGTTTTATGTTCAATTTAGGATATCAGGCTTATAATTGAATTTTTCATTTGCCTTATATTATTGTATTGACCATAATTGTTTGTTTGTTTCATTTTACAAAAAAAAAAAATAACAAATTTGATAAAAACAAACAAATCAATATGTTGAACAACTAGATATATGAACTTGCCTAGTTATAGAATGGATTTTTTCTCTGATGATTACCTTATCTAGTTCTGAAAATTTAGTAGCACCTGTGAACTGTCTGCAACAGTTACCTAGCACATAATCTAATGGAATTTTTCTTTGCAGTTATCCATATTTTGCCAAATTTGTAGTTACCTAATTATACAGTGCGGTCCATATAAATTCTGTGAATTGATGATGGACAGAATGAACGCAGATTTGCAGTTCATAAACAAAATAGTGTTTTCTGATAAAGCGACGTTTCATTTAAACGGAATAGTCAATTATTGAGTTATGTAGCTACAAAAATACATAATATTGAAACAGACGAAACTTTTGAAAGAACCTAATAGAACAATCTCACCTGTGCCCACGTGATAGTTAACATCTTGCCATTCTCTAGGAAGAAAAATATAACAAAATTTACATGTGAAATCGACATAGTTGGCAAATTGAACGTATATCCTTGAATATAATTTTAATCATCTAATATTAGCATTTATTTCACAAATGGACAAAGAAGTTTCATCGATGAGTCAAATTCTAGTATGGTCAGTCCGATTAATTATATCAGAAATAGAAGTGAACTTCTTTATTTAACAAGGAGCATCCAATATTTTCTCATAAACTGTCGAATACGACAATGAAATATGCACTCATAACCAAACATTTGAAGCATATGAAAAAAACATATTTCATCCTAATGAATAATCTATACTATCTTGTCAGGAAAAAGGTAAAAAAATATAAAACGAACAATGATAAACGAGGAAAAAGGAATATACTTGAAATAGTCATTGCCCGTGGCTTCGCCCTCGTACATTGAGTTTCGTGACAAACCATTTAAAACAAATAGTTACAATATTTTTTATCCACCCAAAACTGGAGGTTTCCTTCAAAATTGACAAAATTGAATACAATCTTTCTTCAAACCACCATTTTCTCCCTTGGGGGTGAAGATTCCTGACACCCTTTCTTGATGCTTATTT